TAAAAAAAAAAAAAAAAAAAAAAAAAAAGTTTAAAACAAAAACAGTGCTGCTTCTTCCCCATTACCAGATCATTCTGCTGTGATAGATCGGAAAACAACACAGCCATGTGCCACATAGGTGGTTCATCCTGGATGTACCTCACAGATGGTGGCATTTACTATACAGCCTGTGTGTAGCTGATAGAGCATGTGGGTTTGTGTAAGTGCACTCTGATGTTCACACAGTGATGAATTTCATCGCTTAACACATCTCTTAGGACATACCCTGTTATGAAGTGACTCACAACTGTATTTTTCTGTCATGAAGTCACATTGATTTCTCCCATGGAGTAGACTGTAGATGGTGTGACAGTCTACCTTCTTAATGTTATGCTGTCCATCACCAAGGATTTCTTCGGAGTTGCCATTCCATGTGAAGTCATTAGAAACCGCTGGCTTTCACTCTCCCATTCCTCTCCTCTCTGCCCCACTATGAGTCACCTCACACAGGCCCCATTTCCAGGGGAGAAGCATAGCAACAGCCCCTTCGGGAACCTCACAGGCCCCAGGGCCCTTAGGCAGAAGCACAGGACACTTGCCCCTTCAGCACCTTCTTCGCCAGGCCTCTCTGCTGTCACCAGTGTTTGAGTGGCTCTTCTTGGGAAGTTCTACCACAGCTTCCTGGAGCTCAGCCCAGGTTAATGTTTTCAAAGAAGCCTCCCTCCGGCCCCTCAGGGCATGTCACCCTGTAAAGGACTGGAACACAGACTGTACACTACTTTCTTGCTGCCCCTACCAAGAACAGTCAGATCATGTTTTAAGTATTCTCTAGCAAGCACTAAGTGAGGGTGATTAGCACAGCCAACGAACATGGAGAGTTACAGAGCAGGTGTCCCTAGTAAGCAGGTGGTTTTTGGTCTCTGGCAGTCACTGGCCTGGATAAAATTGGGAGGAAAAGAGCTGGTGATGCTGGACAGACCCACAGGGCCCCAGGCAGGCTAATAAGGGTCAGTCCTCAAACCAGTCTTTATTATACCTCTGTTCAACCTGTATTAAAGGGAGCAAAGTTGACAGCCCAGAGCGCTGTTGTATAGATCCCACTGAGAGGTCCGTTTGCTTCAGTAAGTAGGATCTACTCACGATTCATCTTCTGATTTGTCACACTGACATTCTTTTCCCTTGCTTCCTTCCCCTCTACACACCCGGAACCAGATGAAAGGTCAGGATGACATCTTCAGGGAATGGTGCTTGGAGTCAGCATCAGAACTGTGATCCCCCATGGGCCACGAGGGGTGAAAGGGCAGGGGCAGCTTTCAGGTATCTGAGCATCAGGACTAGGACAGCCAGATGGAGGAGGAAAGGAAATGAGAGCAAGGGCTACTGGGGCAAACAACTTGCGCCACAAACCCCCCCTTGCTATCAGGACCCTCCCCCTCCTTTTTGAGGGGGCAGCAATGTGCCTAATCTAGGCCAAAAACAAAAAATCTTTAGGCTAAAGTCATTGACAATCCCATTTACTTTAGGAAGGAGTTTGTTATACCACCTGATCCTGAGTCTCATTCTTGTCTGTAAGAAACAGAAAGGCACTAGGGGTTCCTGAAAGAACTGCTTTCTGATAAAGAGATGGGGGTCAGATTCCTGCACACCTCCACCTTCTGCCCTGGAGGACCCGCAGGTACAGCACCCACCCTGCAGCTAAAGGACGCAGAGGCCTGGGTTCCAGACGTGATTCAAGACCTCTGCTCCAGCCCCGAAACTACCTCCTCCGACCCCTTTGCTGAAGCCAGTGTTAGCAGGTTAGAGGGGACGTTCCTGGGTCTGGGCTTTTTCCCTTTCAGTGAAGCCCCCCGGCATCAGGCGGGCCTTTTCAGACTGGGAAAGTAGAGCTTCTAGGCCCGCCAGCCAGGCCCAGCGGAGACTGCAGATCGAATGCTTGAATGGGAAAACAAACAGCGTCTTCTCCCACGGGTCCTTCTCCCACCCAGTTATGGGATGGATTTTGGTTTTTCTAGGACAGACTGGGGAAAAACCCCCTGACCGCTTTCTTCCCGGAGCTACACCAAAGGCTACAGCAGTGCGGTACGAGAAAAGCGCGCCTACACTAGCACGTTCCGACCGCGCAGCCGCAGCCCGCCCAGGCCCCGCCCCCTGAAGCCGTCAGCTTCTCCTCGGGCATGACTCGTGACGTCATAGCTCACCGCGCCCCTTCTCTAGCCGCGCCTCCTCTGCTCCCCGAGCCCCGCCTCTAAGTGACCCGGAAGTTTTACTTGTGACCGCGGCTTTCCCTCCCACAATCCCTCGCGCTCTTCCTTTCCAACTTGGGCCCGGCAGAGTAAGTGTGGTTGGAAGGTTGAGATTTCGGGAATCCAGCTCCATCCTCTCCCGGGAGTGTACTGGCTGGCACAATAGGGTGTCGCCCGAGCTGACCCAGGAGCTCTGCTTACCAGGGAGTTAGGAAACCGCCCTGAATTAAAGAGTTCCCGGAGCCTGGGAGGGAAGGTGGCCGGGCTTCTGGAAACCGGGGCCACAGGGCTTTCCGCATCGGAATGACGGCTTGGTCATACGCAAACCTGAGCCGCTGGGCCTGCTCTGCAGCTGGCAGCATTTGTCCAAGCCGGAAATGAGCTTCTCAGCCTCCTTGTTTCCTATTTAGATGGCTCCCGCAAAGAAGGGTGGCGAAAAGAAGAAGGGCCGTTCTGCCATCAACGAGGTGGTGACCCGAGAATATACCATCAACATTCACAAGCGCATCCATGGAGTGTGAGTATCCTGCAGTCGGCCACGGGCTCGCGAACTCACCTCACGTGTGGTTTACTCTTGGGACAGCCTAATTGTTGAGGAGAGGTCTAGAAGTTACATGGCTTCAGAATCTCAGTTGTATGCATCCTGTTTAAGGAGTTGCGGGATTTGAAGTGTACCAGAGGTTTACGATTGGACATGTGATTGAGTAAAATTTGTGAGTCGATTTTGAAAAACTTGAATTCCATTGGGTCACTCCGATCACTGCTTTCGTTTTTAAAAACCTGGACAGTCTAAAAAGTAGTAGATATGAGGGAAAGCAAACTTTTAATACCTCTGGACATCAGGGAAGTTAGCCGGCTAAGAAGGTATCCTGTCCAGCGTTCTCTGTTCCCTGTTCCCTGACCCCTGCAGAGACGGACTGATGTTGGAAATAAAAATGCTAGAGACACAAAAGTGTTTCTGCAGTTACAGCGCAGTGCTTGCTGATAGACCGTCGCTGGTGAATGCATGGTTTCTGTATGTAGATCTTGGACTTGGTAAACTTTTCCCCTTTTTTTACACATAGTATTTACTGGTAGAATTTTTTATGTGATGTTACTTTAAAGAAATATTTTGTTCGGTCTGTAATGAGTAGAGCAGGATTTCTTGGATTTATTTGGGCAGTCTTTTGGGAGACAGTTCGCCAGAGATAACGTGTGGCAACCTTTGAATTGGGTTTGGCATAGTAGGCAGGTAACCCTGTCAAGCAAGGAACATTATGTACAATGTCTTTTGTGGGGGTCTGAATTGGTTCTGGATCGAAAAATCAGGTATCTTGTGTGTTTATACAAACATTAACCATATTATTTGGAGCTTAGCAGGTACCTAGCAACCCTAGCCACTGCTTTGTAAATGCCGCAGGGAACTAAAGACCTTAATCTCTAGTTAGTAGTAGAAAGAGGGAACAAGTGCTTAGAGTATAAATAAAATAGTGGCAGAAAGGAAGCCATAGGGTGAAAGGTAGTGTGCTGTTAAAAGGCCACAGCTGTACTTGGTGATAGCAGGGAGTCTTAAAGATTTAAACATCCAACTGCTACTTGACATCTTTGCTTGAGTGAGCAAACTATAAACTAAGTGGTCCAACCCCAATTCCTGTTGTCTTTGTTATGCGGCGTATTCCTCTCGTGCTCTTCCTGTTTTTCTGGTACTGGAGATCGAACTCAGGACCTTGTGCTTGACAGGCAGGCACAGCCCCACTGAGCTAAATACCCAGCCCCAACTTTCCTATGTTTTTCACTGGCAGTTCACGTCCTGTGATTGTACCATCGGAATACGTCCAGTCTGTCCAATTGCAATCTTGTCCAGATGTCCTTCGCCTGACATGGTGCACTCTGGTTCTCTGTTGACTTCCTGTAAACCAGGGTGTTTGCCATTATCACATTAGCTGGCCCACTTGCATTCTTTATCATGAGTAGCTGCTTTTGTTTTATCTGTACTTCTTCCCTTTGTGCCTGACAGGTTTTCTCAGATTGGCTGACTTTGTTGCCTTCAGACCTTGATCCCCTTAGCCCCTGTATTGAAACTTCCATCCCTTTCTCTAACACTCTCCTATCTCTTTCCTTTTGGATCTTCCTGTAGTACTTGATACCAACTCATGTACTCGGTGGGTCACTTGCATAACCTATGTGAAGAACAGGGATTTCCCTATTTTGCTGACTCCTGTTATTTCTAGATGCTTAATGGTGTGAGTTTGTCTGGGCTCTAGAAATAGGAGGCTGGGAGAGTAGTGCTTAACCTTTTATTTTCAGCCTGTGTAATGTTCTGTGTGTTTTGTATTTCTTAGTTAAATGAAACCATAAACTCTGGGTGCATCTGCATCCTCGTTGTAGTGAAAGGGTTACTGAAACTAAGCTGTGCTTCTGAACACATTAATGAACGCACTCGGACCCTGACAGTGTCTCAGGCGCACCTAGAGCCCCTTAGTTCATGTCCTTATACTTCCTTACTATGAGGAATCTACCCACATTTCAGGCTATGCTGTATAAGCACGGCTAGTTGATAGTATTGCATGATGTGTTATAATAGCATGCTGTCTTGTAATTTGATCCCAGGACATTGTACTTACTTAAGTGAAAATGAATTCGACAACTTATATGGAGTATTAATGCTAGCTGTTGGCATTTGCACACTGGAGGAAAAAAAAAGATTGTTCTTGCCTAGTTTGTATTTTATGAAAACAAGGTGTACTCTGTTTTATATAATTCTGTGCGCTTTGCTTTTTTTTTTTTTTTGCTTGTGTTTGGATCTTAGGGGCTTTAAGAAGCGTGCCCCTCGGGCACTTAAGGAGATCCGGAAATTTGCCATGAAGGAGATGGGGACTCCAGATGTGCGCATTGATACCAGGCTCAACAAAGCTGTCTGGGCCAAAGGAATAAGGTAGGTGCTGAAGTTATCTGTAAGAAAGTGACCTTACGGTGACACCAGCTTGTCCAGCTCCAGGAAGGGATCAGTTAGATAGCTTGGTTACTGTGTGTGGAGGTATGAAGAAAATCCTGTGGCAGTGATTTGGTGTCTGCTGGTGGGCCCTGCAACAGGGCTGTAAACTGAGGCCTGGAGGGTATGAGCTGGTGAGCAGCACTGCACAGAGTACAGGCTCATGTAGTAGAATAAGTGCTCAGAAGGGAAGCAGAGGCTGAGCCCTGGGTTGGAATCATCTAGATTAGATGGGAAGCCTCCCCTTGGAAGCTGTACTTCCCTCCCCCTCCCAGTGGGATCAAATTCAGGACCATGTGCTTGTCAGGCAGGCGCAGTGCCACTGAGCTACATCCCAGGCCATAAGCCCTAGTTCTTAACCTGGGGCAGTTAGTTTGGGGGTGGGTGTTGCAGGCCAAGACACTCAGGTCCTGTGGGCCAATATTGAGGGGTGTAGGAGGACAGGTGGACAGAGCACTGTGATGCCTTCCATGAGATGAGAGGGGAAGGGAAGGCCTAGGTTACAGGAAGGAATATTAGGTGTCTAGGGCAACACCTGGCTTGTCAAGGAAGTGGGGGAGATCAGTGGTACTGCTGAAGGGTTGAGTGAGATGAGATGGACAGTGGCAAAATTTCATTTAAACACAGCTCAGAAAACCTCTCAGAACAAGATTTCCCGACTGTAGGCGTGCTTAAGTGGTTGAGTGTCAGTTATAGCTGCTTTAACACATACTGTCAGGCATCCTGGGGTGACAGCATTTAATGTCTACCCGGGTAAATTTTCCAGGGGCAGATAAGTGACTAGCTGACTGGATTTGAGGTGTGTGTGTGTGTGTGTGTTTGGTTTTTTAATATAGGTCTCACTGTAGTTCGGGTTGGCCTTGAACTTGGAGTAATCCTCCTGCCTCGGCCTCAAGTGCTGGGATTACAAGTGATCCACGCCTGCAGTTGGCGGCCAGTTACTAAAAGGAGACATTGATTTACGTTTTCACTAGGAATGTCCCATATCGTATCCGTGTTCGGTTGTCCAGAAAACGTAATGAGGATGAAGATTCACCAAACAAGCTCTATACTTTGGTAACTTACGTCCCAGTTACCACATTCAAAAGTAAGTTTCACTCATTCCACAAGAGCTTTTTAACATGGGAGGAAAATGTCACCATTTGTGTGTTTGTGCACAGCACTGGGGGTTGACCTAGTGCACTTTTGAGACAAGTCTCACTAAATTCCCTGAGATGTTGCTGATTTGGGATCCTCAGCCCCCCGGAGTGCTGAGATTACAGGTGTACACCACCAACCTCAGCAGTGTTACACCTATTTCACATTGTCTTAGTGTGGAAAAATGTAAAAGATTTCAGAAGTAGTTTGGGTTGTAAAATGTTTACAGGGGAATGCAATTGTCTAAATCTTTCTACAAAAGATAATTGAGGTGTTCACATAGGATATGTGTGTGAGTGGGAACTGACTGGCTGTTGCTTCTCTTTGCAGATCTCCAGACAGTGAATGTAGATGAGAATTAACTTTCAAATAAAGTTATAAAACTGCCTTTGTGCTTTGGTTTCTTGTTTCACTTGTGGCATGTTGTGCTATGTATGTATGTAAAAGTCATTCTCAGATTATCCAGAGTTTTCTCAATACTTTTGCTCCCCACCCCTTGGAGGGAGTTCACTCGGACAGGGCCTTAGGTTTTTCCAGGTGGCTCTTGACTGGAGAGCCACTGTTGTGAGGAAAGTAGAAGTGCAACTTAATGACACTTATTTGAATGCTGCCATAAAAGGTCCCCAAAAGCAACAAGAATGGAGGTGCATATAGGGAGACTCAACTTATCTCTTCACGTCTCACATCAAACAGCTGGTACCATAGGCAACATAAGGTAAAGGGACTGAGTCAATACAAAAAAAATTTTTTTTATTAAAAAACGTGGAGGTCAACATTGAAAGCATAGTTTGGACACATTTTTGGAAGGACATATCCAAAGTGAATATAACTAAAGGTATTAAAATGGTTTCAATTACCAGCATTGAAACAAAATTAGTGCAAAAACAGCCAAAAACAATTGCACGGATAATGGCTCTGAAGATCTTAAAAGTGAAGATTATTCTTGACCTTTCTCATCATTGTAAGTGAAAAATAAGAGCTTGGGGCTTTTCTTGGCCCTCAGTTTGTTTGATGTCTGAGTCTGTGTTCTATCATGATACCAGCATCACAGCAGAAACACCCATTGCAGCAAAACTGCTAGAAGTAAAATCACAAGTCAGTGTCAAGTTGATAAGATACCTGTACCACTGCCTGTCCAACTGATGATTCTCCTAAAAGAATAATTAGAAATAACCATCTTCCCAGCCAGCATTCAGGTGGTTTATCCAGCTACCCAGCTTCCAACGTGGGCATAAAGCCAGGCTTCGGGTCTGAAGGCAGCCCACCTGCCGTGGCAGACTGCAGTATGTACTACGGTGAACTCCCACCTCTATGCATTACCCAGCTTGAGTTCAGGTTGCAAGTGGCGGCTCATTTCAAGATTGTTGAGGTTGTATTGATTGATCTTGGCATTTTCAAGTTTGGGTTTAATGTCCAGTGGCTTTTCAAAAAAGTTCACTAAGGACTGTTCAGTAAGGAGTGATGCTAAAATGTGCTCCAGGGAGACCGTCCAGACCCCTTCCACCACCTCAGGAAATGGCTGGGCGTCCTGGACAGGCTTGCCAGGGTCTACAAAGATGGAGTCCTGGTCAGGAGAGGGAGCAGGGGCCTGCAGCTCCTCTGAACATTCCTGGGAGCTGCTGCCCCGCTGGCCCACCTCCCCAATCTGCAGCAGCAGTGTGGTGACAGTGGCGATGGCTTGGTACAGCTCATTTTCTTCTGGGTCTTCATGGAACATGCTGTACAGAGTCTTACAGAACTGGATAAACTCTCTCTGGAATTAGAAAAGAAAGTCCAATATAGCACTGTAGCCAGGATGGAAGTAATGGATTTTTCAGATGTGACACTTTGGAAAAGTATGTAACTATTTTTGAAAAAGAAGGTACTCTCTGCTCTTCACTCTGCAAACTGCCTCCAGGAGCTTCTACACATGCTCCAAAGTGTGCTGTCTGTGGGTGGTAACCGTTAATAAAGGTAGGCAGCCCCATGGCGCATGAGCCCAGTCATCCTGCAGAAATGTCTCCAAAGAATCAACAGCTATACAGACCTAAAATAGGCTAGAGTTTCTAACAAAAAAATGTTAAACTGCTGAAAAGATTAGTAAAACTGGCATGTTTATCTTGTAGCAGGACCTAAAAGCTGGAAAACTAATTCCAATAGTGACTGTCTACAGAATGTTAGTGACAAAGCCTGACCTTTCAGGGAAGTTTCTATGTAACGTTGGGTCTGAGTACAAGTGACAAAATCACCATGGTCCTTTAGGGGCTCGGCAGGCTCAGCCTATTTGTGGAGGGACACTGGTGTGACAGCAGTAGCAGCTAGTGAGGAACTTGGTCCTGTGCAGACACATTTCACAGACAACAATGGAGCAAAGCAGAATCTACACCACTGGGCCCAGAGGACCTGTGTGACCTGCTTAGGCTTGTTAAGCCTAAGCAAATAGATGGGGAAGTAGACATGAAACCAATGAAAAACTTCAGTCCTGAAAAAATTCATCTGTCAGGGATCGGAAGTACAACTAATCAGAAAAATGGGGATAAACATACATTTCCCAATTATCAAGTGTTCTCTTAACTCTGATTCCAAATTATTTGGCAGCATTTGGGGTGGGGAGAAACCTTAGTACCAATAGCTGCTGGTTGATAACATGTCTCATACATCTACGGAGTAGAGTGAAAATCTGAAAGCAACCCCCGCATACACAAACCAGCATTTCTTAGACCTGCTACAAAATACCAGTCCTACACAATGTTTTGGGGTCAAAACAGACTTAGGATTAGAGATGTGGCTCAGTGGCAGAGCACTTGCCTAGCTTGCAATTCCAGGCCCCTCCAAAAAGAAAAAGACAAACATTGCATGCTAAATTCCAATCAAAGGCTCCCAGCACACAGCAACACAATGACTTTTAAGTCCCATGGTAAAGGATCTTTTTATTTTTTCTTTTTGACACAGGGCGTAGTTCAGGGTGGCCTTGAACTCTCTATACAGCCCAGGCTGGCCTCAAACTTGGAGCAATCCTCTCGCCTCAGTCTCCCAAGTGCTGGGGGATTGCGGGCATGCACCACCAAGCCCATCTGGGACATTCTTAACTGTAAGCCTACACATCTCAAACATTGGTTGAGACCCTTATTTAATAAAAAAAAAAAAAAAAAAAAAAAAAACACCAAAATATGGCACCTATGTAGCATAAAACTTTTCTGGAAGACGCTGCAAGATTATGTACTGTGTATCATGCAATCAGTGGTTCTTGACAGAGAACACTCGTTTCTCTGAAGAAAATGCTGTACCCACAGTGGCCCCAAAAGTTTCTAACACCCACAGGTTAAGTCATAGCCTGGACAAGAGAACTTGACAAACCTCTTAAAGGTGTGAAGAGTGTGGCAACCTAGTGTTTTGAAGAGTTTGAATATCTGACTTGACCACACTTTAATCTCCATTTAGTCAACACAATGCACAGCTCCCCAAAGGTACAAGATCCTGGACTCCGAAGGTAAAAGATCTCAAAGGTATTAGGCTTTGGAAGTAAAGGGGCCAGAGCTCAAATATCAAATTAATGACTGGACAAAGTTACTAGCCAAACAGTTGGCCTCTTCATAGAAGAAAATTCATACCTGGCTCATTTTGGGCAGCTCTTTCTCGGTTTTGTCTTTTTCTTTTGCTAGATCTCTAATCATCTGCTTCAGCTGCTTCCGGTAATCAACTGTATCACCTGGAAACAAAGGAAAATAATAGTTGAAATTTGGTGAAAGCAAAAAGGAGTACTGACTGGAGACAGTAAGGGGATGAGGAATTCCACTAAGCAAATCACACATAAAACTGCAACGCAGGGATTCCAATAGGGAGTTTTACAACTGACCACGAGTCCCCATCCACATAGCTGGGGGAAACAGTAAAGGAGAGGAGGGAACCCAGTGGCGGTGAGGGGCAGTCACAGCAACACTTCTTTCAGGTTTCTGCCTGAAATAGTGGGCTCTGGTAATTTGCAAGAGGGAAGAAGGCCAGGCAGCTACAGGAGTGGGAGGACCTGGGGAGCCCGTGGTGCTACAGCAGGCAGATAACAAGAGAGGTACGTGCCATTGGGCTTCCCAAAGACCAGCGGCCTGGACGTCGACAACAGAGGATTCTTCAGTGGTGACTGGCTGTCGCGATCATTTTCAGTGAGTGCTTGGAAGGAAGAAGATTTAAGTTGAACACATTCTGTCTTACCAAAACTGACAAGAGTAATTTAGCTTTTTAGGCTATATTTTCTTTAGGCAAGGAAGAACTGGAGGCTCAGTCAGCTGCTTCCAATCTGTAGGCTACAGACTCTTTGCAGGCTCAGGAAGCCAAGTGTACACCAAGCCCTGTCCAGATGCACAAAGTAAAAAACATGTCTCACATCCCAGATGTATGTGGCACTACTCTAACTAATAACATGCAGATTCATAAATGGATGTTGCAATGAGCATGGTGGCAAACACCTGTAATCCAGCACTCAGGAGCCTGAGACAGGATCACAGTGAGTTCGAGGACACCCTGGGCTACCTAATTTGTGCAAGGCTAGCCTGTTCTCCATAAGCAAGACCCTGTCTCACAAAAGGGGGGGAAAAATGACATTCTGAGTTGGCCTAGAGAGATGCACATTGTCGATCCCCCTTCTATAAAAGACATGCAGGGGCCAGGGATTTAGCTCAGTGGTTCTGCTGGCTGCCTCGCAAGCACGAGGTCCCAAGTTCGATCCCCAGTAGCAACATAAATAAATAAAGATCTGCATACATATATGTAAGAAGCTCTAAAGTGAACAGGCTAGATCCCTGGATGGAAGAATGGTTGATAATTAAACCAACTTTCTGTCCTGAACACAGTTATATTTGTATAAAAACTGAAAATAGCCTTACTGAATCTAAAGCAGCATCTTACTAAGAGTTTTCTTGAAGCATACTGAAAATAAATTGACATCAGAACCCTCATCCATTGCTGGTAGAAGAGTGAAATGGTCCTGCCACTTTGGAAAACAGTCTGACAGTGCCTCAAAATGTTAAACGCAGAGATGCCATTTGCCCCAGAACTGCCTCTCCTAGGTGTCTACCAGAGAAAGCCTGAGCTCAGATTTCATACAACACCTTGGAAATGAACGTTCATAATAGCAAAAGGCAATACCAGAACAAGCCAAATGTCTATGAGATGATGAAGAAACAAACTGGCACAGACACAGAGTGTTGCTTGGTGTGATGTGTGCCACAAGGCATTGTGCTAAGTGAAAGAAGCCAGACACGTAATAGCAAATATGTGTCAGTTTCATTTACATGAAATGTACACAGCAGACAAATCCATAGCAATAGGTTTCCTAAGGTTAGGGAAAATAGATGGACTGAGGGCAACAGCTAAAGGACAGGATATTTATTTTCAGGTGACGAAAAGTTTCATAGATTACGGTGCTTCTCGAACAACTCAATATATGAGAAACCACTGAATGTATTACACTGAATGGGTGACTTGAATGGTATATAAATTACAGTTCAATAAAGCTGCTACAAAATAACAGGGCTTGATGAGGAAAGTTCTTCATCTTAAAAGACTGAAATTTGCTAGTGAGCCCTGAGAATAAATCAAAGGCAAAATTCAGTTATGTTGAGCCAGGTGTGGTAATGCACACCTGAAATCCCAGCACTCCGGAGGCTAAGGCAGGAGGATCTATATGTGAGTTGGAGGCCAGCCTAGGCTACACAGTGAGTTCAAGTCTGGTTTAAACTACATAGCAAGACCCTGTCTCAAAAAACCAAAAAAGGCAACAAAGTCAGTTGCGATTCAAGAAGTTTCCACAAGATGGCACCAAAACTCTGAAAAACTCCCAAGAGGTTCACAGGTTTCTGGAGGAGGGAGGGTTATTTTTCTTTCTTTTTTTTTTCTTTTGATGCCTAGGCTTTTGGATGTTGTTGTTGTTGTTGTTGTTGCTGCTGTTGTTGTTTTGATAAAACAACTTTATTAAATCAAGACTGTACATACTACACAATTTAGTCTTAAAATTTAATATCCAACAGACCCCAGCACATTGACAGAGTTGTTTGTAACCACAACCAAACTTATGTCATTTTTCCCATCCCTTTTTTTTTTTCTCCTGCAACAATTAAGTCACTATTGCCCCCAACTGCCTAAAATAAACTATGAAGTGGCACCAGTGAGAATCCACTCAAACTGAATGGGAGGAAAATGATAAACCCTGAATGGCCCATCAGGCTAGAACACCAAAGAGTTCGATGTCCAAAAAAAGAAGTGAGTACACAAGCTGCCAAAAAAATGTTCTAATGGAAAAGCGACATGCATGACTGTGATGGGCTACAGAGAAGAGAGCAGTCAATGCTGGGGGTGCGTAAGCTACCAACAGAGACGAGTTCACAAAGCTGGTCCCAAAGCACAGCTTCCAGATCTCTGCCACCAAGGCACTCCCAGGAAACCACACCCCTCAATTCGGTGACCCAACTCCCTCTGGACAGCAGCTGTTCTTGGTAATGTAGAAGACCTTAGAGAGAAAGCTCGCTTTCCGCCTGCAGACCAGAGTAGCTTGAGTTTTCCCTGAATCAGCATCTGAATGTTTTTGCCTGTGGAGGACCCATCCCAGGGCCTCACACACTCAAGGCAAACGCTCTACTGCTGAGCTGCGCCCCCTGCCGCATCCTTCACAGTGGGGCCAGAGCTGTTTGGCAAACACAGTAACTCACTCCTTGAGCCCCGGCACTCGTAGAAGGGACTGGTGAAGTGCGGCATCATGACAGCCCTGTTCCCAGTACACGACCAACAGACTCGGACCCACCCCCAGATTTCCATTTCTGCATATGCATCAGTGGCTGTAAAAGCCAGCAGGGGCTTGGGCCCTGGAAACTTCCCGGGCTCTTGTTGCGGGGGTTCTATCAGGGGCCCAGCTCTGGGGCAGACAGCCTGTGGGATATCTCACTTACCCCATTAAAGGTCCAAGGAACACTTAATTAAGAGTACTGTGTTTTTCTTCCTGTCAATGTCAAGTTTGTTGTTTGCTTTTTCAGTTTTTTGAGACAAGTTCTCACCAAGCAGTTCAGGCTGGCCTTGAACTCTCAATTCTACTGCCTCAGCCTCCTGAGTGCTGGGATTGCAGGCATGCAATACCAGGCCCAGCTCGATGTCAAATTTTACCTCATAGCTTTCAAAACTACTTCCTTTTTCCTGGTTACCACTGCATGAACTTGAAGGAAACACATGCTAGAAAATGATGTTCCAAAAACAGTAGCCAGCCAGGCATGGTGGTGCACACCTGTAATCCCAGCACCCAGGAGGCTGAGGCAGGAAGATCACCAAGAGTTTGAGGCCAGCCTGGGTTGCATAGTGAGTTCAAGGTCACCTGAACTACATAGCAAGACCCTGAACCCTGTCTCAAAAAACAAAGAAACAGGGCTGGGGATGTTGCTCAGTGGTGCCACACCTTCCTGGCAAGCACAAGGTCCTGAGTTCAATCCCCATACCACAAAAAAAAAAAGAAAGAAAGAAAAAACTCCAGCAGCCTATAACCATCTGCCCAGCCTACCAGCATCTTGCTCCCCAGCATATCCCACAAGCCCAGCTCTCAACGCAGGGGCCAGCCATCAGCTAGGGGCCCCTATCTGCACTGTGACACACACTCAGTTGGGCAGCTCCTGCTCCAGCCATGTAGCACAGCACAGTTCTTACAGTGTGTGAACTGCAGCCCCAAAACAGAAATGTTGGTGCCCCAAGACTAACTGAAATTGGGGTGGGGTTGCTAGGTACGAGGGACCAAACTTAGGACCTTGCACTTGTGAGGCAGGCACAGTGCCACTGAGCTAAATCCCAGGCCTGATTCTAAGGCATCTAAGTTAAATTTAGAAAGAAAAGAACTTCAGGGTGATGCACAGAGCTGCCTATGTGCTGAAGCAGGGCACAGGCGGCTACTCTAGCTCGGACTTGCTTACCTGGAGGGATATGAAGCCTGTACAACAGTTTGATTTTCTCATTCATTTCTCCATTGTACATAATATCTGCAAAAAAGAGACACTGGTTACCAGCTACTCCCACTGTCACAATGCAGACTCACTGAAGAGAACTGAGTAAGGTCAACGCCTGTCCCCTCCCGTGCCCCCAGGTCCACACCACGTTAGAGATGCACGGGTCAAGGGTGCTGGCTGGGTGGCTGAGTTACATGGTAACCTCATGAGTGCAGTTGGGCCGTGATCTTGGCAAAGATTTTAATTTTAGGGACATGGCCACATGCCCAAGGCCACATGCTGGAGGCCAAGGAGAACAAATCAGGAGGCTCCTAAGGGGGAGCCAAACCTCCTCCCCACCTTCATATGTAGGCCTGAGAGGAGTGAAGTGTGAAGTCCCAGCACTGTGTCAGGCCTGTCACCAGTGCGCCACAATGCTCTCTCCAGACACCCAAGGCAGGAGGCTCTCGTACCCAGGCAGCTCGTGAATGCCCGGAACTCCAGGAGCTGGTCCACATTGTCATCCAGCAGCCGGAATGTCCTCTCCGCCAGGATCTCCGTGTGAGCCCCGCAGGTCCAGGGCGAGAGCAGCAGGAAGAGGCGAGTGAACTGCCGGGCGTCAATGCGGTATTGCTCAGCATAGGGCCTGCTGGGGTCGTGTCGCAGGGCCACAGGTCCAGGCTGCGCCCAGTAGCAGCTCAGCATGTGTTCCCGCTGCAAATGGGAGGGGAGAGAGCTGGGACGCTGGGCAGCACCAGGGGCCCACGGAAAGGCCAAAGCCACCATGGCCCAGCTTCGCCTCCCAAAGTGCTGCTCATTCAATAAGCAACATTGGAAGGAGAACCAGACGACGAACGTTCCAGTCTCACCACCTGACCGGACATGTAAGCGCTTCCCTTCTCCTGCTCCACAAAAATATGGAATTTGGGGTTTTCCACACAGGGTGGCGGGTGAGGCAGCTAGCCTTAAACTCACTTTGTAGCCCAGGCTGGTTTCAAACTTGAAGCGTACGTACCTCATGCCTCAGCCTCTCAAGTGCTGAGATTAGAGGACCACGCCATAGCGCATGGCTTGGGAATTTTAATTTTTTGTATTAAAGCTTTTCCTCGTGGTAAATATATGTAACACAAAATTCACCATCTTACCCAGCGTTAAATGTACAGTTTTAATTATGAAGATAATTTGTATTCTGCTCCTTTCATTAAAATGTACTGTAAATCAGAAAGAAGCGGAGAGATCTACAGGATACAAAAAGAACTAGCAGCCTGACTACCTGGCAGAGAGGAAATGCGCAAGGACCCAAAGGTAGAAGCAAGACTTTTACTTCTTACTTTTTATACTTTCTGAATTTTAAATCACATCCATATATGATAAACACAAAAAAAAAAAAATTTTTAAAAAAAAAAAAAAAAAAAAAAAAAAAAAAAAAAAGGCAAGTTGAACTCTTGAGAATAAATGAAATTAAACCAACCAAAACTGGCCTTGTCACTGAGGCTGGGCAAGCCCACACACACACACACACACACACACACACACACACCCAATGCCACACCGAGGGACCGGGGCGGTCATCTCAGCTCACCACAGCCGCCAAGGCTGGGACAGAAACGGTGGGAGGTGCTACAGTATGCGAGCCGAAACGCCATTTGGCATTTGGGTGTCTTGCTCAATACAGTCACGCTCTTTAAGTGGCCACTGCAGGATGGTGAGGAGTATCCCAAGAACTTTCAAGTGTAACAACGCGGTAATAAACCTGGATGGCTTTTTGAGACAGGGTCTCCCCACGTAATGCAGGCTGGCCTTGAACCCCTGTAATGCAGGCTGGGCTCAAACTCTTGCCTCAGCACCGAAGGGCAACACATGACCTAGCTACACAGCAGCTGCAAAGCACAAAAAAGCACACAGCCCTGTGTGGGTCATGGGGTGGATGTACGCAGACTTAAGAAGTACCCCGTGACGGTGCAGTAGGGCCACTGTCTCCTGTCCTGGAAACCAGGACCCTATACTGCTCAGCCAGCAACAGCCTGGATGGGGACATCCAGGCTCCTCCTTCCTGATGCCAGGCTGAGGGCTGCCACCGTTAAATCTGGCAAGGAGGCTCTGGGCGGAAGTGAGCAGGGGCACTGGCCCAGCCTTAGACCCTGGGAACCCCCCATAGGTGCCTTGACTGAGCCAGCACCATTCCAGCTTCCTAGCACGCATACCTTGAATAAGTCATAGAGTTCCTCCAGGTCCTCAGGAGAAATTGAGACCTCGGGAATGACCACACGGAGCTTAAGGAAGGAACAACAGGGATGGAGTGAATTCAAGGCCAGCGGACACAAGCCAGAGCCGCTTATACAATGGCTGCCTGGTCCTGGGGCAGCATCTGCTCCTTTCTGACCCAGAGATGGCTCTATAGCAGCTGCCCAGCTGTTCCATCCTCTTCACCCAGGACCTCAGGACAGAGGCTCAAAGCTCCACCTTCAGGGAAGATGCTCTGAACGAAACTCTGCTTCCTGTAGTCATATGCCCAAGCATCTCATACCGGTACCCTACCCAATCCGACATGGGAGGGAGGGGTCACCCCCATTTAAAAGTAGGGAAACTGAGGCTCCCCAAAACCCATGTTGCTTTTATACTACATCACCCCTATTCAGTTTTTAGTTTGATTTAAAAAAAAAAACAAAGCTGGCATTCGTAAGCCACCGGACCACACGGGCCCACTCCCCACCACTGGGGGGGGGCCTCTGCTCACCACGTTCTGCCTCGTGGTATCCTCGTGCCCCTGGAGGACCCGGATCCGGTGCTTGCAGCGCAGGTGCTCTATCTCATTCGTAAGCCACCGGACCACACGGGCCCACTCCCCACCACTGGGGGGGGGGCCTCTGCTCACCACGTTCTGCCTCGTGGTATCCTCATGCCCCTGGAGGACCCGGATCCGGTGCTTGCAGCGCAGGTGCTCTATATGCTCCACAGACTGGTCCCCAAATTTCTGCAGGGACAGCAGGGACCCTTCCATCAGAGCCTCTGCTGCATCCACAGCAGACAGGAAGCAGCCCAGGCCCACCTGCAAGGCCCACCTCCCAAGGACATGTCCCATGGGAAAGGGGTTTCGAGGGTGGAAAGGCGAATTGAGGGGGGCAGGGAATTAGGGATGGGAAAGGGGTGGTGAGGCTGGGCCAGGAGCTCATGCACCTCATAGGAGTCCCGGATGAGGTCAGCAATGTCAGTCACAGGGTAGGGCTCCTGGTCATCAGAGAAAAAGGCATGGTGGCTGCCGATGGAGGGCCCTGGGCTGTCTTCATTCTTAATGTGATCTAGAAACCTGAGCACACCCAAGTTAAAGCCAAGTCCCCCTCACTGAGCCACACAACACCCACTGCCCTTGGGGTACTGGATGTGCTAGCTCGCATTCAAACATAGCATCTGGGAGGTGAGGCAGCCACTGCTGCAGGGAGGCCCTGCCAAAGCCAGGCTTGTCCAGCTGGGTTCTGTGCAGGAGCCCGGGCTTCTACTGTCCAGGGAAGTCAGTGTAAATTCTGTACCACAAGCTCCTGTCATGCTTTGATGGAAATCAACAGTGACCCAACATCTGCCCCCCATGGTGCCCGGGCAGCCAGGTCCCAGGGCTCAGCCTGCAATGACCCCTCTCTCACTGGAGTTCAACAACCCCAAGCATACAAGGTCTGAGACCCCAGTGAGCTGTGATGCCTTCATCCCTGTTCACAGCCACTCTGACTCTACAGGATGCACAGTTTAGCACTTACAGGAAGGAACTGCCCTTCCTGTACTCTCACTTGGTGGACAGGGTGAGGGAGGATGGCACTCTTCACCCCACACTGGTGGCAGTTGCCACATGGCAGTCTGGCTCTCGGGCGACCACAGCGTAACAGGTGGCAGAGCAGAAGACAAAGCTTCACAGTGCTGGCACACCTGCTGGCACCACATCCTGTGGTCTTCCAGACTCAGCTGCCACCTACTTCATCCCCAGGAGCCACAGGAGCACAGAGCCGGGGCCCACCTGCTGAGGATCATCAAGGCCTGACCATCATCCTTGCTGCTGCACAGCTCCTCAGCAGTGGCTTCCAGCACAGCCAGCCCCAGCTGGAAGATGGCTTTGATCCCGTCGTAGAAGAAGCAGTCCATAACATTCACGGCACTCTCCAGGGGCATGATGCTGAGGAACAGGGTCAAGAACCACGAGAGTGAGACGGATGCCAGGGCCGAGAGGTCATTCATGTGCTCCGCCAGCTCCGGGAGGTGCTCCTTGATGAGCTCCTCAAAGACAGACTGGTCCACCTGAGCCCCTGCAAAAGGAAGGCCACAGAACTTTGGCAGGAAAGAATCACATGTGCTATAATGGCCTGAGATGAAAGCTACTCTGAGATGACCAGGTCAGTGAGAAAAGAACGTGAGTTCAGAAAAGGACTCATACTTAGTTCACTGATGTTTGACATTTTGACCGAGGTGATTCAATGGGTAAATGACAGTCTTTTCCAAAAACAGTGTTCAATCAGCTGAACATTAATATGGGGTGGAAGAGGGGCTGCTCAACCCTTACCTAACACCATACAAAAAATACATTCGAAATGGATCACAGGCCTACATGAAAAAGCTAATATTATAAAACTTCTGGAAGAAAATACAGGAATAAGGCCCCCAAAAATAATTAATTAATTAATTAAATGACTCCAAACAAAACTAAAAACTTGTTCTTCAAAAGACACCATTTAATTGGGCTGGGGATGTAGCTTAGTGGTTCCGCCACCTGCCTCACAAGTGCAAGGTCCCAAGTTCATACCAAAAAAACAAAAACAAAAAAACAAACAAGCAAAACAAAAGACACCATTTAATAAAATGAAAGTGCAAACTTCAAATTTGGAGGAAACACTTGCAGTATATCTCCCTGACATAAACCTTGTATCCAAAAAAAGGGAACTTAATCAGAAGGCACCAACAAATTTTATTTTTTTAATATTTAAGCTCAAGATCTGAGCACTCAAAAGAGATGATAAATAAATAGTCATTGGGCACAGAAATATGCTCAAAATTATAAGAGAAATGCCAATTAAAGCTACCATGACAGCTGGGCATGGTGGCATGCACCTGTTATCCCAGCACTTGGGAGGCTGAGGCAGGAGGATCACTATGAGTTTGAGACCAGCCTGGACTACATAGTGAGTTCCAGGTCAGTCTCAACTACATGGACAGACCCTGTCTCAAAAACCAAAAAACATATGTGAGAGAATGAAAAGATGAAAATAAAGTGTTTGTAGATGGGGAGGGGAGGAGGGGGTGAAGGGAGGGCAGAGGTAAGGGGAAAAAATGAGAATCAAGACTTGCCATGTAAAGGTACATGATCCCAACAATGAATGTAACTGTACTGTATCCCTAAATGTACCAATAAACTCAATAAAAAAAAAAAACAAACAAACAAACAAACAAAAGGTACCATGACGAACATTACTTCTAGCCCAGTATCCTGGCTAAAATTAAATAGACAGATAGATGATTCCCAAGGATTAGCAAGGACACAGAGCAACGAGGACATTCCCACACTGATGTAATGAGACAATAAATATATTATATTCATTTTGGAAGCCCCCTAGCAATTCTGCTGCTAGATAAGCACCCTATAAAATGACAATACATATCCACAGAAGACGTATGCATGAATGTCCTCTGCTACTTTATCATAGCCCTGAGCTGGAAGTAACTCAAATGCCCATAGAGAGGTAAATGGACAAGCGACCCACAGTGCCAACACAGTGACACAGAGGACCCAACCACTGGTACACCACCAACGTGGACGCCTGTCACAGGCATTATGCTGTGTGCCAGAAGTCGGACACAGAAGAGTTCATTCTCCATTTTTACATTTATAAGACATTTAAGGGTAGGCCAAATTCCTTTAAGGTGATAGAAGTCAGTCCCAAGGGTTCCCTGTGCAGGACAGGGCAGGAAGGAGCAACCTGAAGTGACACAGAGGTTTCACACTGTCTTGTGCCATGGCTACACACTATCACAAAAGTCCAGCTAATCGCTGCTGAGCACGAGCTGTCACACAGCAGCATTCACCAGCAAGTGGCCTTGACAACATGCCACCTAATGACACCAAAGTTCTGTTTACTCTTCGCTTCTCTGAACCTTACATTGCTTCCCACAAGACAAAGTGAGAAGGGAAGCAAGTCAGTCACTCAGGCAATGCAGGGAGCCAGGGATGACAGCCAGAGGGCACCTGCGTCGCACAGATAAGAAGCATCACCTCCTTCCCAGCCAGCCACACCCCCAGGCCTACCCCCTCCATCCCCCCACTCCTATTGGGCATCACAGCTTTTAATTCTCAGATCCAGTCTCCAAAAGCACCTTCTTCCTGCCTTGCCCCCTACATCCAATTAGCCGCCAAATTCTATCTCAAATTAGTTCTTTTGTTTCTGTTCCCACACTGCCACTATAATTTTAGTCCACCTCCACCTCTCATCTTACTAAGAAGTCCTGAAGAGCATCACCAAACCCAATTTTATTTTTAGATCGGTAGCTCTTTACTTTGGATTGTTATTAATCTGACTGTCACACAGAAAATCTTTAACTGGTATACAGAATAATTATTATTAAAATATACCAATTATATTCAGCAAATAATTTAAACAATAAATTGTTCTTAGGGAAGAATGAAATTCCTCATATTTTACCCATTTATCCAGTGTTCTTTCCCTTACAAAGCCAAGCAGCTGATCATGTACTAAGTCAAAGTCTCTTTTGGAAGCCGTTATTGTAGTACAATGACATCGTGCTGAACAGCTTCTTCTGAGTTATGTGATCTAACTTTCAAATATTCTGTGAGATCCTTTGCTGAATCTTGGCGATTCATTAAACAGTGACTGGCAAATTTCACACTTTCTAATCTCACATGAACATGAATGTCACTGAATCATCCAAGAAAACACTGACAAAGAGGGCGATTCCGTGTTGCCAAATCACAATCATTAGAGCCAAACAATTTACCTAGAAGTCGAACAACAGCTAATCTTTCTTCTCCATCATCGCTCTTCAGTTTGAATTCAAGCTGCGGCGTGGCAGAGAATAACAGATGAGGATGTATGGCAAAAAGTTCCTGAGTCAGATCAAATACATGTTCTGACAAATCACTTCCCAGCACCAGGACTTGATTGAAAACAATGGCAATGCAAAAGTCTGAACCGTCCTCTTTAAGAGGACTTTTGCAAGATTGAAAGACTGTTTATTTAAGTTCTTATGTGCAGGCATGAGGTCGGTAAGTAGGGAGTCCAACAATTCTTGAGTAATTCCATCACCTCCCGTGATGACAGAATCCATCAAGTCTAGCACCTGCAGTTGCACCTTCTTATTGTGGCTTTTGTTGATAACTGAGAGTCCTAAAAAGCTGAATAAAAAATTCATTGCAATCTTCCAATTCAAAGCAGATGTTATATGATTTAACCCAAGCTAAATTCTCTAATAATAAAAGTATCTATTCAACTGTGGTCTCTTTGTGTCTTCCAAACCTTTTAATTGTCTGGTATTAAACAAAAATATGCAGTTTTTCATAGGAAATATATGGAGCTTCTGGGACATAGATTTGAAATATATCAGCTAAACAACATGCTACAAGGAGATGCACATCTTTTTTAGGGTTCCTGAGGAAGAATTCAGAAGCAAGATACAAAGCTAGTGGGAAATATTGCTGTTTTTCATCTTCTGAGTATTGATCCATATCCGTGAAAGTTTTCACATCTTCAGTCGTTTGATCATTTCATCGGTGGTGATCTTGTCTGTGATCTCCTTTACTCCAGGAGGGTAAGCAATCTTCCCATCGGCTCTCACGATGCCACAGAGGGCAGTGGCAGGCTTGGGCTTCGCAGTGAAGTCCATCCTCTACCCACCTCTCCTCCCCATGCGGCGGAAGGTGCATCAGTGCCTGTCCGGACTCTGTCAGGCGCCTCCACAAGTCCGGCCGCCTGCCTGCCCCGGCCGGGCACACAAGCGACAAGAGAGCCATGAAACCCAATTTTTATATTATTTTTTCCACTACAAGGCTGCCAGACCATGGAGATTGTACACATCCAAACCACAACTATATGAAAGATGGAGGCTCTGAGGGCAGAACCGTGGGGCCGTGGGTCCCTGCCTAGGCTGCTTTCCCCCAAAGACTCACGTGTTAGGCTTAGAGTAAGTAAGTGGGGGAACCGCTGGGGGTCATCCCTTGACCGCTTGGTCGGTCTCAGGAGGAGGCTGCTGTGAAAGCAGCTTGGCCTGTGCTGTGACCCCTTGCCCTGACACACATCCTGCTCTGCATCCTCGGCCTCCATGGGGTCCTCACCAGAGAGGAGCCCATGCAAGTGCCCTGTCTGTGAACCTCCAACACTGTGGGCTAAACAATCCTTTTTCTTCATAGGTAGCCTACATCAGGTATTTGATTATAGTAACAAAAAGCTGGCCAACACAAGTCCAGGCGGCAACAAGTTTCTGTATGTAAGTGGGAGACTCACCAGCACCAGCCCACCACCGCCTCTCCTCCAGGGAACAGAGACTTCCCCAGCAGAAGCTCCTCAACCCGTGATGGTGCACTCTCTGTCGGCACACAAACCAAGTCACCATCTTGTTTTTTCTAAACCAAAACCTCAGCATTCAGGTTTAATTACAGTGGTAACACTTTGTGATAAATAAGAGGGTTTTGGGTTGCAGTTTGGGCACTCGGCATCTAAAAGGTTTGCCATCACTGTCCTAGGAGTCTGAGGGGAGGCCTGCTCCCTTTCCAGGCCACAGCACCTGTGCAAAACCAGGCAAAATCACATTCTGACTTATTTTCTGGGAATAAAGATTTTCCTTTCCTTTAAGTTCAACTATTCACCTATAATCATTTGTTTTTCATCCAAAATCTGTAGTGCCTCCAAAATCTGAGCTTAGGCAGGCTATTTCACTATATTGCTAGAGGTGCATGGAAAACAAAGTCAAGGGTCAAAGTGTGTTTGTGCAGACCAGCTGAGAGGTCAGTGTGGGTAGGACTGATGGTGACCCTCTTGCCCAGGCTCTGCTCCCTGGGTAGAGGCAACAGGGAGGCAGGAGGGAGGTAGTTTACCGATTACTCGGTGGTTGAAGTAATCAGGCAGCATCCGTTCACACACAGCGACCAGCAACCAGAAGGCCTCTTCCTCCTTGGCATACAGCAGCAGCACGGAGGTCAGGATGTTCATGGACTGAGTAGAGGGCACAGGAGAGGCAGTTACTGGCCAGCCGTGAGACGCTGAGAGACTTTAGAAACACACAAGCCCAAGGCAAGGGTACAGCTCAGAGAAAGTGTGCTTGCATAGCGTACATAAGGTCCTGGGTTCAAACTCCAGCCTCATAACACACACACACACACATGCGCGCGGGCGCGCGCGCACCCATGCACAAGCCACAAGAGTAACATTTTGCAGATGACAGACCCATGTGCCCCTACTATACTGACCCTGAGGAACAAACGACCCGCGTGTAACATGGTCATCACAGAAAACTCCAGGCTGAGCAACTGGCTGCCATTCAGTCCCTGGCTCCACTGGATAATGCTGGACCCAGCTGTTTGCTGCGGCCCAGGCACACACATCCACAGAGAACTGCATTCACCCACTGATTTCACTTATTCACAGGAAAATGAAGTTTGCAATCTTGGTTGGGTTTTGGGGTGGGGTTTAGTTTATTCCTCTGTATTCCGTTCTTCCTGACTGCATCTTCCAGCTCAGAAGGGCCCCAAGGTCTAGGTTCTATGAAGCCCATCCCATCTCAGCTGAGTTCAAGCCCTGTCTGACAGCCCACTCCGGCCCACTCTACTTTTAGGTATCTCATAAGTCCTTAAGTCGCGAGTCGTCATGCTGACTATAACAAGAATGAACAAAATGTAGAGCGAATGCTAATTTTTTTAAAAATTATTACAGTGAAAGACACACTGCCATGAATCTCCCTCAAAATACTCCCCCATCTGCAGACACACTTATCCCATGGTTCTTGCCACTTTCTGAAGCAGGTCTGGAGTCCTCTTTCATGAGTGTCTTTACAAGGTGTGATCAAAACTATAGAGAATGCTGTGGAGCGCCCCCCAACAGAAGAGCACCTCATAAAAACATGACACTGTCTCCGTCCACCTTATTCACTGGATCTAGCACTGTGTGACCCTGGCTCTTCCCCAAAGTCAAACGGACTGCAAAAGGGAAAGGTTTTGATCGATTCAGGACAAGGCAGCCAGGACAGCATAACGAAAAGAGGACTCCAGAACTGCTTCAGAAAGCAGCAAGAACGATGGGATAAGTGTGGTCAAAGCAAGGGGGAGATTCTGAGGGGGATTCGTGGCAACATGGCTTTGACTGTGTTACTTTTATTTTTTAATTTAAACATGCGCTGTATTTTCAGCCACAGTTTACTTTGGCTGTGACATGGCTAGTTCTTCCCAGGAAGGGCCTGAGCAGACAGCTCCACAGAGCAGTCCTGAGGACCAGAGCAGTACTGGAGGATGCAGACTCCAGCTAACACCCACCTGGCAGTACCCAATGCGGGGGTTGCGGTGGGCATAGGCCGTAAGCACCCTCCTGAGAGCAGCGATGCCCGTCTCGTTCTGGAAGGCCGGGTGCTCGGGCAGGGAGCGGTGCAGGTCACGCTCTATCTCCTCGGTCACCAGGCAGCACCGCCCCAGCGACTCTTCCACCAGCTTCCCGTAGTAACCCGGGTTCGACCCGAGGTCCGTCACAGCATCTGAGGATGCAACAGCAAGGCAACGTTTCCAGGGGAAGGGACTGTGGGGGTGAGCTACAGGGAGACGCTTGCCTTGCCTGGGACCCCAGCGGGCTTTCTTCCTCACTGAGGAACAGAAAGCACTTTGAGACCACACACAGAACACCTCCATTTCTGTCACTTAGCCTAGTACAAAAATAGGAAAAGTTCTATATAAGGAGAGAAAGTCTGTATTAGAAATTACCTTAGAGCTAGGGGTGCACCTCAGTAGTAGAGGGGGTGCTGAGCATGTGCAAGGCCTGGGGTTCACTCCCAGTACATGCACAAAAGAAATCATTTTATTAATATGCTTTAAGAGGCTGCATTCCTTAGTAACAGGAAGAGTGCGTCACAAGTACAGACACCGTTGTCATCCATTAGCTCACAAAAGTGTCAGGTACCAAAGTGCAAAGCACCCTAGGATTAAGGCCAGCAACTGCCAAAGAGGAAGACCCTGCTGCCTACGAGGAATTCTGAAGTGCAAACCAAAGCTGAACAACCAAGCCCCCAACTCGAGCTGGCCACTCACTGCCAGGCCAAGGCTCGGCCTCTAGGGGCAGGGGGTGGGGAGGGATGAGAGACTGATGGGGCACAGACTTTCCTCACCCAGCACTGAGCCGGGACATCCAGGGTTCTAGCCAAGCTCCCCTCCCGAGGGCTGGCACCCAGCTGGGCAGGGAGAGCAGACAAGCACCCAATTCATCCTTAACCCTAGACGAGATTTCCAATTCTGTCTGGGTAAATAAACACTGCTCCACATCAGCTCTGTCTCCAGTGGGAATGCGATTCTATCCCCACTGGGCACTCACACGGAATAAACAGCATTCACACCAAGAGCTGCCATCAGCTCAGCCAGCGAAGAGGAAGAACAGCCCTGTGTGCCTGCAGCTTCCGGGATCCCATGTGGATCCAGGAGGCCTGGCACCAGGGAAGTGCATGTGCGCATGCGTGCGTCAGAGACCGGAGGATGGGGTCAAGGGCGCTCACAAGCAACAGCTTTCTGGGGGGGTACCCAGAGCAAGGCTCCCTCCTTCACGCTCCTCTGTGTTACACACCCTGATGTTATTAGATAGAGTTTATAAAGGGCTTCCATAGCGTCTTTGGTAGGAGCCGCAGAAGCAGCTGGAGGGAGAAGGGTGGGTGCTGGGCCGGGAACAAGGTGGGAACGAGCAGGGGAAGCTCAGCAGGATCGGCCATGAGGGCAGAACGCAGGAAGCCCGGGATGAGCACCTGGGGCAGAAAGGGAAGGAGGCCAGGTCCTGGGGAGGAGAGAGTGGGGTGGAGGGCACCAGCTAGAGGCTGAATGCGAGGAGGCAGGGTGCTTCCAGCTCAGTAGGCGGAGCCGTCTGTGGACCCCGCAGGTACCTGCCCTGGGAAGCAGTTGGACCATAAGGTGGCAGGGCCTTCCCCGCCTGACCTTCGGCCCCAGCCTGACCCAGCAGCTGGGGACAGACACTCAAGGGCTGTGCAGCAAGACTCTGATCGCCACTTGGCCCCAGAAACACCCCAAAGAGGGAGACCCTGGCCCTGTCGCCACTGAAGAGTAGGTCATGGTGGAGGAGAGGGACAGAAATGACATCTGCAATGGGGCCCTAGGGACACGGTGCCTTTAATGCAGGAAGGGCTGGAGTAACAGTCAGGGCAGCTGGGCAGGTGCTGTGCAGTTGGCCAGGATTCCTGTCCTAGGAAGATGCTTCATTTCAGAGGCTTCTTAATGGAATGCACAACACTATGGACTTAGAGCCATTCTTTTATTTATTTTTTTAAGACAAGGTCTCACTATGCAATTCAGACTGGCCGTGAACTTGTGAAGATCCTCCTGCCTCAGCCTCCCAAGTGCTAGGATCATGAACATACCAAGTCATTCTTAAAGATGGGATCACATTGCCCAGACCTGACCCTTACAGGAGGACACTGTTACCCAGGGACCTCAGGCCACGAGACCCAGAGCCTGCAGCCAACACAGCAGTGGTTCCAGGGTCCTCAGCTGGGAATTCAGAGAACCAAGCCACGTGCACATGCTGCTCACAGGCCGAAGACCCCCCACACACCTGAGAAGAGGAGCCAGAGCCGCCCCCGCAGAGCCTCGGGGATCCCCATGGCCACCAACTTGCGGATCTTCTCAGTGCGGAACATGCACACAGTCCTGCCATACTCCGAGAAGTGGTCGTTCCACAGGCTGACCTTGATCTGCTCCCGGGACTGGAAAAGGAAACGAGTACTGAGGACAGAGCAACCATCCACAGCCTGGGATGGAGGAAATGATGTCTACAGGGACCCACAGCAACAGCAGTGACGCTGCAGGTGAACCTAGGCACAGAAGACGCCGAGATGAGCGCCACCCCTGCAGGAGCTGAGGGCCAAGGCAGAGGGGAGATCTCTCCATCAATAAAATGCAGTGTCCTTGGTGAGGCTGGTAAGAACAAACTGGTCCAAACACTGAAGTAACAGTGTGGTGATGCCCAGCTGTGATCTCACTCAGGAGGCTGAGGCAGGAGGATTGCCAAAAGTTCAAGGTCAATCTGGGCTACATAATGAGTTCAAAGCCAACCTGAACGGGCCAGGGATTTAGCTCAGCGGTTCGGTGGCCTGCCTTGCAAGCGCAAGGACCCGAGTTCAATCCCCGGTACCAAAAACAAAGCCAGCCTGAGCTACATAGCAAGACTCTGTCTCAAAACAAACAAAAACAGGGCTGGGGATTTAGCTCAGTGGTTCCACTGCCTCACAAGCACAAGGTCCCCAGTTCAATCCCCGGTACCAAAGGAAAAAAAAAAAAAAACCAAAAGTATGCCAGTGACACAGCAAAAAAACAAAAACAAAACAAATACTGAAATGTAGCTCAAATCAGATGAAGAGAACAGAGAACACTAGGGAATGCCTCCTTGGGGTGTTGGTCAACATGGCACCAGCTGCTAAAATAAGGTCAGTTTGGGGGCGGGGGCAGAGGTGTCATGATTTGCCCTGAACTTCCTGACAGCCAGAGGGAAAAATGAAACCTGGAAAAAACCATTCTGTTACAAACAAGAAAATCACTATTTTTCTGGGCAACAAAATTTTTTTTAAATTATCCCTAGATGGCAGGAACATTTAGGAGCTTCTAAGTAACATTTGCAGCTACTTTTAATAACCTACATTCTTCATAATGAGAGACTCATACATGTAAGTCCACTATTCTTGTGCATTTAGTCAATAGGAGTTGACTGCATATCTGTGTATAATTTCAATTTGAGAAAATAAAGCTACCGACTGATTATAATAAGGCATGTTAAGTGAGTGGAGTTGACTGCATATCTGTGTATAATTTCAATTTGAGAAAATAAAGCTACCGACTGATTATAAGGCATGTTAAGTGACCAAGACACAGCCTGGGTAACAACGTCCACAACTGCCTGATCCTCATGGCTACAACATGGCTGCCCTCCCTCCAAGGTTCCAGCAGAGTTCAGTTTCCATTTCCCAACCGTATGTGACTTTTGCCTCAGGTTTCCCCTGTTAAGACTTAGTGCAGCAAAGTATTTTTAGCTCAGTAAAACCAGAAGACAGACAACCCTTTCTCCCAGAGAAACAAAGCAGACCTGGTACAAGAGGCACATAGATGTGACTGTGGAGCAGGGGATGCACTTATGGGCACCTGGAAACCCACAGGGACAGCGCTGCCAGCTGTCTGGCCACATATAAGTGCAGCACGAGAGACACCACAGAACAGGTGCTGAGAGCCAGTGCCCCTCAGCCTGAGCCCCAAGGAAGCAGGAAGGGAAGCTCTCCCTGCTCAAAGTCCCCAGCCGCCTCTGCCACCTGAGGTCCCAGATGCAGTGTTATCTGGCCCAGGAGCCCCCCCACCCCACCCAGGAGGCAGAGCCACCTCACCCACCAGGTGCGAGTCAGGGCTCTGGCTGCCTGACTGAGGGAAGACGGGGGTCAGGGACTCGGGGCACGGCAGTGGGCTCTTCTCACTCTCCTCGCTGCTCTGAGGGGACACCATTTCGAGATCCCCAAACTTGTGGTCACCACACATGCTTGAGTAAAACACAGGTGTTGTCTGCATGGCAGAGAGAGAGAGAGGGGGAGAGGGAAGGAGAATATATACACAATTATGTCAATTAAATTAAAATGTATTACCTATTTGTGGTGGGCGTGCTTGTAATCCTAGCACTCTGGGAGGCTGAGACAGGAGGATCACAATGCAAACCCGGCCTGGGCCACTTGGTGACTTAGTGAAACCCTATCTGTAAATAAAAAACTGAAAAAGGGCTGGAGATGTAGCTCAGTGCAAAGGTCACAGGTTTGATCTGCAGTACCACCAAAAATTATTAAGTAAAAATAGAAATAAAAATATATTTTTCAAGAAAGTCATGGAAGATGAGGACCTAGCAAACCCAGTCTACTGCAGCTTTCTAACCACACAGCAATGAAACTTTTCTCCCAGGTCTCATCTGCCCCAAATAACATCACTACAGGGGATGGGGTATCACATCCTTCAGTGTCACAGGCCACCTCCGCAGCACACCACCCGCCATCCAACGTGTGGGGCACACGTCCCCCTACCCTCCAAGTCATGGGGTACACAAGCCCTGTTGGCACAACTGACCCATGTAACCCACGGAGCCACCCAGTTCATCGAGTGACCCCAGACCAGCACGCAGCACAGCAGCTTCCAGCCCGCCTCTCATCCTGAGAGCGGTGGGCAGGGCAGGCCGCCACCCTGAGGGCTCCTACCATGTCGTCATCGTAGCGCACAGGGTGGTCAGCGTGGACCTGCTTCAGTCTCGCCAGCAGGCTCTCCACCAGGCCCTCCCGGTCCCTGAGCTCGATGAACTGGAAGGCCATCTTGCTGCGGATGCTGACGATGATGGGATTGGGCAGCAGGCTTGTGTCCTCCATCTTCTCGATGCTCACGACCTGGCGAAACACAACAGGCACCGGTCAGCGAGGAAGGCAGGTGGGCACTCAGTGAGATGCTCAGCAGCTATCCCAAGAGGGACAGCAAACACCAGCACTGCATAAGGCCCATGCCAAGGGTAAAGGGTGCAAGGCGGCAATCTTCACAGCCTCAGCTCAAGGGTCCACTAAGCACCAAACGGGAATGAGAGCTGTGGCACATATATGCGACAGAGTAAATAGCATTTGGTCTTAAAAAGGAAATTCTGTGTGGCCAGGGATTTAGCTCAGTGGTTCCACCACCTGCCTTGCATGCAAAGGGTCCCGAGTTAGATCCCAGGTACAAAGAAAAAGGAAATCCTGGCCCATAGCACAACATGAACCTTCAGGACATTACACCATGTGAAATAAATCAGCTACAAAGTGACAAATAAATGCTGAATGAGTCCATTTATATAAGGTACCCAGAGCAGTCAGCTTCATGAGAACATGGTTATTTGGTGGAGGTCAGGCAGAGAGTGGGTTTTTCAGGCTGGAAAGATGAAAAGGTTCTAGAGGTGGATGGTAGTGATGGTTGCACTTAAAGTGACTGAACTTCACACTTACAACGATTATGATGGTAAACTTTTTATGTTACGCATGGTACCAGAAAAAAATACAGGAGGCATCTTTTCAATTTCTTAGTCCACTGATAAGAATATTTGTAAAATGAACATATTTACTGCAGAATGGTAACGTGGACATGGGAGATCGTAAAGAACACCCCTCTGGGCAGAAGACACAGGAGCAAAACGCCGAGGGCTCGATGGGAAAGGGCTGCTGTCCCATCTCGGCGATGCCTGGAACCAAAGGATGGAGCTGCTCAGGTCTGAAAGTAAACTGAGGTTGGCCCCGATTTCCAAGAAGAGAATTCCACAAGCTGATGAAGAGAGGGCCGACCCATACAGGAAGCATTTTAAAATCCTTAACTCAAGTTCCAGGAGAAGAGCCAAGCAATTTGCCATTTATTTTCCAAATGTGAAGCTTTTTATAGCGGGCTCTTTTCTTTTTTTGGTAAGCGAAAGGGGAAGATCCTTTCCTAAGAGCTGTTGGAAAAGCTGGAATTGCTAGACTGGGTGTGTACCTCTTAATAACAGCTTTGTCATTAATGTGGGGGTGAGCATTCTCTCTTCTCCCCCATCACTTCTAGGTGAATGTCAGGCTGCCACAGAAACAAGAGAAGCGGTAATGGCCCAATTCAGGTCCTGCTCCCCTCAAAAAGCCCATCCATCTTCAGTGCTCACTTAGGCAACACATATACTAACATCAGATGGCTGTGCGACCATCCCCTCCCATGTCCCATCCCACAGCCAGGACTGCAGTTGATCTGCTTTGGGTAAGGCAGGAAGGCTTCCCCGAAGTTAACATGTGAGAAGCCGGGTTCCCGTTGGGGTGGTATTAAGGGGTGTGGGGCCCTTAAGCAGCAGGGCCTGGTGAAGGAGGTGAGGTCAGGAGCATGCCCTGTGGCACCCTGGGGTTCCCGTCCAACCACATGACCTCTCCGTTCACACACATTCCGGCCACCGTGACACCACCCCCCAGGAGCCAGCACCAGCACTGAGCACAGCTGGTGTCACACTCTTGAGCCTCAAGAGCAACATCAACTTCTTGTGATATAAGTGTGCTCAGCCTCAAGCACTGTCACAGCAAGAGAAAAGGGACGGGCTTCAGGAGTACAGGTGACAGAGGCTGCTACGGAAGGGCATGAGTTCTGCTGCTCAAATGTGGGTATGTAAAATAACCACAGTGAGTCTTTACTCTTTTGAGAAGACACTATAAGGGGAATCACAGGTAAATGGATAAAAGAGAATGTGGCATTTACACACAAAGGAGCACTACTCTGCCATAAAGAAAGATAATCTTGAGTCATGTGTAGGAAAATGGATGCACACTGAGACCATACTGTTTAGTGAAATAAATCAGACACACAAGCTTTAATATCACATGATTTCTCTTATATGAGAAACCCAATGCATAATATAGAGCAAAATAAAAGATCACAGTCAACAGGAGAGAGAGAACTTTAGGAAACGGGAAGGGGATCAAGAAATGGAAAAAGAGATGTAAAAAGAATAAAGATGTATTGTGCACATGTACCAACTCCTCAGGAGGGGTGTGATCATTATATACTGCAAGCATGTACTCACAAAAATAAAATTTTTTTAAAAAGTACACAGTGGGTGGCAGAGGCAGTGCTCTACCTCTCGGAGAGGCAGGACCACGGTGCAGCGGCCGTCCTCACGGCTGGCAAAGCAGATGTAGCTGTCGGAGGTGAACATCCGGCCCGCGGTGTGGCAGCGGCTAAAGGGCGTCCAGAGGGCGCAGTCCACCACCGCACGCAGCTTCTCCTTCCGGGGCAGCCGGAAGAAGGCTCGGAAGAACTCGTTCTGTGCTCGCGCCTCCAGGTCCCTGGGCAAGGCAGGAGAGGACGAGAGGAGCAAGGAGGTGAATGGACCTGCGAGTTGACAGAGAGTCGAGAGCGCTCACACAGTGACAGAGGGAGATGCTCAGCCCGATAGGTGAGTGTGGAAAGATGCTGCATCCCCACCCCAGCCTGTCAGCCCTTTGCCCTTCACAACCCGTTCACGGGTCATGTACTGTTCCTGACAGAAATCATTTAGTGAACCCAAAAATACAGATTTCTTCCTACTTTAACACTGAAAATCACCACCAGAATGGCCAAAAAAGCCAAGCGTGAAAGTCAGATAAAATAAGTGATGGTGAGGGTGGAAGGAGACGGGGACCCTTAAACCCTCCGGGAGGAAATTTAAAATAGTGAGCTGTGTGCGGGACATCTCAAAACACCTTGGGAGGCTGAAGGGAGACAGACTCACCACCTGACCCAGAAACTCCACTTCTAGTTTACATACCCAAGAAAACTGAGAACGTTCACTCACCAACTTGCACACAACTATCTATAGCCATCTCTTCTGTGATAACTGAAAGGCAGAAACTGCACAAATTTTCATCAGCTGATGAGTGGATAAACTGTTGTGTATCTCTGTAGGATAATTATTATTCATTTTTTAATAGCAGTGCATGATGCTGAAAGAAGCCAGCCACAAAAAGGCCACAGAGTACCTGACTCCATTTATATGAATTCTAGAATAGGCAGCCTGTGAAGTCAGAAATAGGGGAGCAATTGTGCAGGGCTTGAGGGAGACACAGGAATTATGCATGGCTGTTCATGAACATGGGGTTTCTTTGGGGGGTTATAAAATGCTACAAAACTGATTGTAGTGATGAGTGCACAGTTCTATGAATATGATAAAAGCTGAATAGTACCTTTAAGGGGTGAATTATACCACACATGAATGCCAAAAAAAATACAAGAGTCTACAAGTAGATGTACACATATTGTTAGTGTTGTAAACAGTTAGTATAGCCTGAAGCCTGAGTCTATCCAGAATGGTTGTAATGAATTTTGACATCATGTTATGGATAAATAAGCATTGAAAAATAAACCAAAAAACCACAGTAAATACTCCCTTTAACTTTTTGTACACTATGTTATGTAATTTCTATTTTACCATGAGGCTGATATATTCCAATATTTTGAAAACATCAGTATTAATGTTGAGTTTGCAGAGGTAACCTAACCAACTACAATTATGTTTGGTACTAAGAGATACACCTTTCAATAAAATTACTGAAAAGGAAAAAAAAAAATCTACACATCTACACTTCCTCCAGGGGGCGCCAGAAGAACAGAGACTCACCACGCACCCTCCCAAAGGTCACCAAGAATGGAAGGCAAGGCCCCAAGTTCCTCATGAGCCAGCTGTCCAAGTTTAAATCTTAAAAAAGTATCTCATGAAGCTGAAAGGAAAATGGTGGGTAGAAGAGAGGGACAAAGGAAGGTTGATTAATGGGCACTAAGTTAGAGAAGGATAAGGAGTTTTGGGTTGCTACTGCACAGCAAGGTAACTGTAGATATCAACCATGTACTGGGCTCATAAAAAGGTATGATAAAGGGTTTTAAATATTTGAATATTTTCCACCTTAAAGAAATGATAAATCTTTCAGTAGGGATATTTGACCTGATTTAAGTATTACACAATGTATAAAAGTATCAAAATGCCACATTATACCCCATTAACATGTATAATTGTTATTTTTTTAAATCAGTTAAAAATTTTTAAATACAAATAAAGCAGAAAACTGACATCTTCAATCCAGAATCATGCTGGCCCCATTGGCTTTGATGAAAGTTAAATCAGTGCTTATTCCCTGTAGCATCCAATACACACGGCTCTGGCACCAGTGGCTTCCCTTGTTCCTCCCAGGAATGACTTCTTGACTTCCCTGCAGGAGCTAGTCAAAGCCAGAGTCAAAATAATAGTAAGGAGCAGAAACAACATCACCTCACACTGAGCTCCAGGAAGGGTAGGAGGACTTACATTTACTTTATACCCAAGCCCTCAAAATAAGAATAAGGTATTAAAAAAAAAAAAAAAAAAAAGAATAAAGT